TCCCTGTCTCTCTATGGTCAAAGTAATAATAATGATAATAATAATAATAATAGTAAAAACTGGAATTAAATTTTAAAAATCCTTTAAAAAACTCTGGCTTTTTAGAAAAAAAGTTTATTTCTTCCCATTAGTGACAGAGAAACAGGCACTCCCGATAAAATCCTCCCACTATAAACCACACCCAGCTTCAGCCGGCCCCAGGGTACATGTGTGCATAGGGTCCTCAGGGAGGTGTCTGGACTTGAACCGGGAACCCTCCCATGTGGGATGACCTCACAGAGTGTCATGTTTTACCACTGTGCCACCGTCCAGCCCTCTTTATTATTATTTCTACTTCCACTGTTCCCTACAGCTCTGTATGGAATGCACAGACTGCTGAATCATTATTTTATATATTATCTCCCAAACTCAAAATCAGAAATTTTTCAGGGAGAAACTGAATTACAAGTCCTGGGAGTAATGTATGTACATACGGATCTCTATGTTTATGACGATATGATTGTGATCACATGCATGTATTTGTGTACATGTGCATGCGTGTTCACAGGTACGCGTACATGTATACGCACATAGAAAGGGCCTTCAAACACTATGAACAACGCATATTATGAAAAAACTACATGGATTTCAGTATTCTCTGCACCCAAAGAAACTTGTAATTTAATTCTATCCTTGCACCAACTCTTTTTCAAATTAATTTATTTCTTCCCCGAGTGAGCAAATGGGAGAGAGAGAGAGAGCACGTCCGACAAGGTCTTGATGCCCCAATCCACCCGCATCTTCAGCCATCCCCAGACCATGAGCACCAGCATGCCTGGCACACTCAGGGAGGTCTCTGGACACAAACCTGGAACCTTGTCAGAGGGTCAGCCTCGCAGAACACTGCATTGTACCACCGCAGCACTGTCCAACCCCCACCACAAAGCTTTTCAGTGTCTTCATTCTTGCGTGCACACAGTATTTATGGGAAATGATGAGTACGATGGACTATACAATGCATATGGCATATACTGAATATGTATACGTGTGTGTACGTATTGCATAATGGATGTATATACTGGGTTGTTGGAAAAGTCATGATGCATTTGGGCGTAGGAAAACAGAACAAAGATGTCATGACTTTTTCGACCACCTCATCGATGTATGCAATTATATGGTGTTAGCATTCCCGACATGAGACACTCATGTCATTATTCATAGGCAAATCATTTCAAAGTGAGGAACGGATGGATGGCTGGATTAAAGAACTAAAGCGGTGACTAAACACATGAGAAATATTTCAGTAAACATTAGAGTGTATCCAGATCGACACATAAAAATAGATCGTTCGAAATCCATTGACTCTCCAAAGAAACTGTTTCCAGAACGTGCAGGAAGCTCTGTGTCTAGAGCTTTCATGGAAGCCTCATTTGGAACAAATGCACTCATGGACAGCCTACCTTTTTCCCAGGTGCTAAATAATGATGAGCCATCACTGCATCTAAACCTGCAGGGCCGGCGTTGGCTTTCCTCAGTTCAAGCAAGCTTTGAACACGTTTTTCTTCCTTTTCTGGTTGTGACCCATGCCATAGGAAGGCAGGCAGGGTGAGGGGGGGTTCTGCGAGCCTCACGGACCACCATGACTGCAGACCCTGAGGCAAGGACCTTTCTCCCTCGTGTTCTTTCCATCTGCTCTAGTTCCCAAAAACCTGGCCAGGCGCCTGTGCAAGGCAGCTCTGACCAGTGTCAGCTTCTGAACAAAGCCAGCAACACCAAGTATTGATTCCCCAGCTCAGAGATGATTGTCATGTGGAGATGCTGCTCTTGTTTTGCTCAGTTCGGGGGAAACAGTAGTTTAGAAACACAGGGAAGCAAGAAACCAATGAGGGAATGATTTTGTAACTTCGCCCAAGAAACCAATGAGGGAATGACTTTGTAACTTCACCCAAGAAACCAGTAAGGGAATGACTTTGTAACTTCACTCAGTGGTGTCCTGGCTGGTCTTTCGAGCAGTAATTGTGGCCACGATATAATACATGTAATAACAAAAAAAGAGAAAAAAAAAAAACCTCAAACCAGGCATGCTCCATTTTTTGGAGGAAAGCAACAGTTTGTAACAGCTTTACTGCATGTGTGATCCTTAAAAACAAGGAGGACTTGGGACCAGCAGTTAGCATAATGGCTATGTCACTGGACTCCCACGTAGTCGACCACGGTTTGAGTCCCGGACCTGGTGGCTTAAATTCATGGCGGGCGCGTGTGCATGCGTGCCCAAGATCCTGAGAGGAGAATGGAGAAGAAGGGATTGTGGCGTGGCCATCCCCCCCTGGTGGGGTGATTTCTCGCTTTCTGTCTGTCTGTCTGGTGAGTGCACGCGTCCTATAGCAAAAACCTCTCAAAACAAACAAACAAACAAACAAACAAACAAACCAAACAAGGAGGACCTGTAATAATGCAGGTATAAAAATAACGAAACTGCTAAAAGGAGACATGGGAAGTTTTCTTGTTAAATTTCCTTGACGACACCACAATATCACACATACGATATCTCAAAATTATGAGAAGGAATTCCAAAGTAAAAGAATTTTGCATATCACAGTTCAACGACCACAAGTCTATGTGTATCGGTAAGAAGACTTACTAGTCATAAACCCCAATGCAAAGCTGGCCCTCCCTCTGTCATGCCTTGATTTGATAAGGAGCCTGCTGGGTCACATTCAGCTTCAGAAACATGGTCAGTTTACTTACTGTTATTGGCCACGTGCGTGGATGTGAAATGAAGGGACACTTTGGCGCTCTTGAGGCGTGTCTGTCCCCAGTACGTGATGGCCTGCAGTTCCACGGTATAGTCACAGTCTGGCTGTAGCCTCTCCAGCGTCACGGAATTCTGAAACTACATGCAAACAGAATATACCTGACTCCGCCACGCGCATCCCAGGCTCCCTGTCTCTATTGCAAAACCATGCAGATCACCAGGAAGCGAACAACTTGTGTCTTAGGAACGTCTTTAATTTTCTAACACCTTTACAGGTCCAGTTCTACTGTGACTAAAGTGAATTTCATAGGAAGGCCAGACACACTTTGAAAATAATCTGCCCCATCTCATCACTGGATCCTCTCGGGAGCATGGAAAAAAAGTCATTGTGACCCCCCCTTCCTTCTTGCACAAGAGAGAGCTGTTTATAATAGTTAACAGAGGTTGAGGTGGATAGACACCTGGAAAACATTATGAATCGGCATTAATTGTATTTCTTTGGTATTTGTAATAAGTCTGCTGTAAGTTTGCATGAAAAGCTGTAAGAAAAATCAACCTGACTGAATCCTTTAAGATGTTTCTGCCATCGTTATCATAAATATCAATAGCTCGCCAAACTGTCCATTTGTAATGGTACAAAAGTGAATCAGGTCAAAATGGTATGATTTTTCCAAAAGTTTCAGACCAAATAGGAATTGTCGGAAGTCTAAGGAGCATGCGACCTATGTAAGGAAACCGAGGAATCGACTGAAACAGTCTCACCGCTTTGAATCTAGGTTTTTGTCCATGACTTACTATACACTTGTAAAAAGTATAAATTCCCTTCCAAGGATTTGTAATTAAGAGAAGTGAGATTGTTGTCTAGAATCCAGAAACACTCTTCAAAATATAATACAGGTGATATAAAAAACTGCATGTGCTGATATCCAAAAGAATACTTGTTGGGGCAGCAGGTGGCATGGTGGTTAAGGTGCTGGACTACCACATGGCTGGCCAGGGTTTGAGTCACATGGCTGATGCTGACCACAGTTTGAGTCCGTCCCACACGTGGTGGTTTTTTTTTTCTCTTTCTCTCTCTCTCTCTCTCTCTCTCTCTCTCTCTCTCTCTCTCTCTCTCTCTCTCTCTTGTGAGTACATATGCCCTATAACAATTTTTTTAGTGGTAATAATAATATTAAATAAATAATTCTTCAAAGAAAGAATGTTTGTCTATCAATGGTCAGTGGCAGCATGAACATCTATGAACAACAACAAAAAAAATGTGTCCGTTATGAACACACCACCAAACAGCAGGGAGTAGTATTATGTTCTTCCCAGTGGAGAATATTGCAGTTTTATGTATGCAGGGCATTGTTGTCTGAAACCACCCAGCAGTGACTCACAGAAGGATGAGGTCATTGAAAATGTCCTAACGTATTTTTCTAATGTTTTCCACTGCAAAAATGTGCCGTGACTTCCCTGATGACCCAGTAAGTCTCTTGCTTAAATCCCACCATCACCTACTGGCAGTCTGATGCTAATTTAGGATCCTGTGAGATTTGTTTTCAAGGAGAGGACATGGTTGTCTCGGGGCATCCCAGCCTGGAGAGAATCACACTCACCATTAATTAATGGATGACTTCATTATATGTTTAGGCTTTTGAGGGATGAATGAGCAGAACTCAGCCTTCTTCCATCTGCCCAGCTCTGGAAGGCTGAGAAGTCCGCACTTTCAGAAGGGAAATACTTCATGTCGGAGTCTGGGCTGTGGCTGCTTTACTCAGCTAACACCCAGCAGCAGGCATGGCCACTGAAACCCTCCATGCCCCACCATGGGCATTTCCCTCTTGTAATCCCTAGCATGTCTGCATAAATTCCCAATTCCCTATTTCTCTTCCTACCAGCCTTCCAGAGCTGATCAGATGCAAGAAGGCTAATTCCTATTAATTAGCCCCTCAAACTCTGGAGCATATAGTGAAGTCATTCATGAATTGACAGTGAGCAGATACGGTTCCGAAATGCCCATGGGAACCATGCTGTCTCCCTGAAAACAAACCTCAATTATCAGTAGAGAGGCAATAGCTGATTGTGGGATTTAAGGGATTTTCGTTAGAGTTTCCTGTGTGATTGCATATCATGCTCGCTAAATGATTATTTACAAGCAAGTACAATAAAATTTACTTTTGAAAAGCATTTCCTTGGGGCCAGCAGACGGTGTAGCTTTTACATTGCTGGACTTCCACACGGGCGACTACAGTTCAAGTTCCAGACCTGGTGGGTTGAAACCCATGCCGGGCACGTGTGCATGTGTGCCCAAAATCCCGGGAGAAGAATGGAGGAGAAGGGATTGTGGTACCTCTGCACATTCCCTAAGGCAAAAAAAACTCCAGAAAAAAAGCATTTCGTTGACAATCCCCATTCCTTTTCATTACTTAGACTATTACGATAGTGTCTTTAAGAAATAGGAAACTATTGATCTCCAAGAAGAAAATACTGTGCTCATTTTCTTTTGTGTTTTTCTGGTTTTAAGCCCTAACCTCTCATGGGTCAAACATTAGTACTGAGAACTGTCATGATTCATGCCACATATTGTTTGTCTCGCTTGGATCCCAAAGTGAAGTCATTGGTGAAGTAGGGACCCAGTGATGTAGGCTACTTTGGGCTTATTAGTAATTATATTAAAATTTACTTTGTGTTTTATTTATAAAATTGATACATGATACAAAACAGATGTCCCTGCAGCATCTCCCTCCTTTCTCCTCGACACTGCCTGGCTGTTAGTGGCATATGCTAGGCAGAGGGCTGGGGACAGCAAGGCCTTAGCTGTATTCCCTCATTTCACATTTTGCTCAAGAGCCTTGTGATTCTCCACCGCCAGCTCTCTTAGCTCCTCCTGCGAGATAAGCATAAACTCCCAGTTATCACTGTGACCGAGTCCTTCAACATGGAAGGTAGAACTTATGGGAGATTTCTTAAAAATACAATGAAGAGAGATCAGCAGATGGCATAAGGGTTACGGTGCTGGACTCCCACGAAGACGACCTCAGTTCAAGTCCCGGACCTGGTGGCTTAAAACTCATGCCAGGTGAGGTGACCAACAGTTGGCGTAATGGCTACGTCGCTGGACTCCCATGTAGTCAACCATGGTTCGAGTCCCGGACTCAGTGGCTTAAACTCATGCCTGGTGTGTGTGCGTGCGTGCCCAAGATCCTGAGAGGAGAATGGAGGAGAAGGGATCGTGGTGTGGCTATCCCCCGGAGGGTGATTTCTCGCTTTCTGTCTCTCTGGTGGTGCACTCACCCTATAGCAAAAATACCCCCCTAAAAAAAATATACAGTGAAAGTAGTTGAACAGCTAAATGATTAGGACTTTTGGAGACCTGTGTTCTAATTCTAAACAGCACAGATACACAAATTGTTAGAGCGGAAAGAAATGCCTTGTTGTCTTTTGTAAAGCCATCTTACATATTGATTTGGCTATGAAATTCAACTTTATAAATTGGGGGGAGTGTCTATAAAAATCTAACAATAGCAAGATAAAGGAACATATTCTAAAAAGAAGCCAAGCGGCTCTTTTTATGTACCCAGCCTTTCTTATGATGCAAGGTGTTCACTGTCACAGAAATCTCATCTCAGAAAAGAGTGGTGAAGATTTTATTTCTTAGCATCTGGAGGTGAAACGCTCCAATTTCTTTTAACCAATGAGGAAAACATATTGTCAAACATGCAGTTTCTTTTGCTTTCTTCGTTTCTTTAAAAAATAATTATTTACCTTTTCATTTGACTGGATTAAGACAGAGAGAGAGAGAAAGTGAGAAAGCAAGTCGCTAGGTCTGGGACTTGAACCACAGTCGACCATGTGGGAGTCCAGCACCCTAACCACCATGCCACCTGCCAGCCCCCCCTTTCTTCATTTTTTTTAATGACTAAAGGGCATACAGGCTCACCAGAGAGACTGACAGATGGGGAGGGAGAAGGCATCCCACAACAGGGCGTGGTCACACTGCTGTTCCTTCTCCATTTCTCCATCCTGTCGGGATTTGGGGCATGCTCACATGAGTCACTGTTTGCTTCTCAAGTCGCTGAGGCCAGGATTCAAACCACAGTCAGCCATGGGACACCCAGCTCTCTTAGCCTCTATACTATGGTCAGCCCTCGTGTGTGAACTTTCTAAGCTGTGGATTGTGCACTGATTAGACTACAGCTGGAAATACCTTGCCACAAGAAAGCATCAACATCTGCTCTTTAATTTACAAGGATTTCCTTTAAAAAGAGGTGGTAAAGGACCAGCAGCAGGTGGTGTGATGGTTCAGGTGCTAGAGTCCCACATGGCCAACTACGGTTCATGTCCAAGAACTGGTGGCTTGCTTTCTCTCTCTCTCTCTCTCTCTCTTCTTCTGCGTCTCTCTGGTGGATGCATATATCTCATAGCAAATTTAAAGAAATGATGATAAATAAGTAATTCTTTTTTAAAAATGATAGTGGGACCAGCAGATGGCATAATGGTTATGTCACTGGACTCCCAGTGACAGCAGCCCGAGTCCTAGACCCAGGGGCTTAAAACTCATACCGGACGCATGTGCGTGCATGCCCAAAATCCCGAGAGGAGAACGGAGGAGAAAGGATTACAGTATGGCCAACCCCATGGGGGGCAATTTCTTGCTCTGTCTCTCTGGCGAGCGCAAGCAAAAATCTCTGTTAAAAAAAAAATGAGAGAGCAATAGTAAAAGTAAAACACATCAAAAATGAAAAATGTGAAAATAAAGGACATTTTGTGTTTTACCTCTTTCTTTAGCTAGGCAGGTAAGATGGCGATATTTGACATTTGATTTGAATTTGTTCCTTTGATTTCTGGAGTTGTGACTGCCATTTGGATTAAAGTAGCCCAACAAACTATTGGGTAGTTGGGAAATCATGATGTAGTTTGCATTGAAAAACATGTCGTGACGTTCCTGATGACCTGATCCAATAAATAGCACTGTTCTCCCTTCCCGTGTAAATGTCACAATAGAATGTAGGCATGTGCCCATCATCTCTGCCCTTCCCCACTCAATAAGAAAGGTGTAGGAACCCTGCCTTCATCCAGGTCCTCTTTCGTGGAGCGGTGGCACTTTTCAGCTGGTGGCCTTGAGGGCAACCTCCCAACCCCCAATGAGGACAGGCAGCTCCTCCTCCTTCCCACTTACCCCATCTGTAGTCTTTCTCCGCTTCTTTTTGGTGGGGACAAGTGACTTGCTGCTGACCGTCCAGCTCCAGAAGGCTTTGTAGTGGTGCACGGGGAGGTCTGGCTCCTCGGGGAGGTCCCACACGAGAGTGACGGTTACCGTGCCATCGCTGTGCACGGTGGAGTTGGCAAGGCGGAGGTTCACTGGCGCTGGCGGGGCTGACGGATCTGGAATCCCAGGACAGAGACAAGGCATCGGACTCCACTACCGAAAGACGACAGCGAAACCAGTATCTCTGTACACTGATGACAACACGGGCGACCCTGAAGCACACATTGCTTTTCATAGCTAGAAAAAAAACTAAGAATAGGGACCAGCAGGTGGGGTGTGGTGGTTAAGGGGCTGGACACTCTCACAGGGCCAACCACCATGGTTTGAGTCCTGGACCTGGTAGCTTGCTTTCTCACTTTCTCTGCCTCGCTGTGTCTGTCTTTCTCTGGTCAAAATAAAATAAATGCATGGATACATTAAATAAATCATTCTTTAAGAAAGAAAAACTAAAAATAAGCCTTGAGTAAGATCCGCTGGTTAAGCCTCCAACTCAAATGCGGTCTACAAAATAATGATATGAATGTGTCGATCCCTATTTGTAACCAGGCAGATTTTTGTACACATTTTTATGTCACTGTAACCTAGCTGGCTTGGGACATTTCTGTAAAACACAGGACAACTGAAAGTAGGTGAATTGACCTTCAATAGGTAAGCAAAGTAGAACAACACCTGAAAACCCCAAAGAGGAAGAGAGAGCAATTCACAACGCATCTTTTCATCATTTAGTGGCCCCCGTAGAGAGAGAGATAAGAAAAAAAATAATAAATAAGAATAAATGGTATACCATTTTTAGCCACATTCTAAATGGGAGGACTTCCAGACGGCATTCATTTTTGTAATTTTACCGTGACTGGCTAGTGTCATAAGCCAGAACCTTCTCAGCTGTCAAGACAGCTTAGCTACTGCTATTAGCCCCCTACAAATCTCCATTTAAAACACACGTACAAAGAAGATAAGTTGGAGTAAAACTGGAGAGCTTTATTTTCTGCACAAATTAAGCAACTGTAGATTTACAGATGCTTTTGTTTCAAGAAAGACCCTTCCACAGGAAAACTCGGTCAATAATTCCAATCAGAACACCGTTTGCGTGCAAGGAAGGTCTATCTCACTTGATCTAAATACAGACTCAAGGCCAAGCAGAGGTAGACCTGTGTGGGGGGGGGGGGGGGGGGGGGGGGGGGGGTTAGCCATGGTTTTGCTCTCCAAATCACTTATGGTTTTGGAATGATGCAAACATGAATTATTTAATATGTTCTCATGCTTTTCTCTGTGATATATAATGCCTGGAAGTTCAGTTAGATTAGTCGCTTCAAAAGAAAACACGACTGCTGTTCGACAGGGTGACTAACGTTAATATCGTAGGGTTTGGGTTACACAAGTAGCGCTGAGCTGCTCTCATCAGAAAAAAAGTGACTGTGAGGTGATGGATACGTTCATCTGTTACACCATAGTGGCTATTTTACTACCCGGGTGTTTTCCACAACCTCAGCTATACACAATAAAATGGATTTTTAAAAGAAACTCATTGGGACCAGCGGATGGTGTAAAGCTTACATTACAATACTTGGGCTCCCATGGAGTTGACCACAGTTCAAGTCCTGAACCCAGCGGCTTAAAAAGGCTCATCCTGGGCACGTGTGTATATGTGCCCAAGATCCTGAGAAGAGAATGGAGGAGAAGGGATCGCGGCATGGCCATGCCCCCTGGGGGGTGATTTCTTGCTCTCTGTCTCTCTCTGCCGCTCTGGCATGTGCATGTGCCCTATAGCAAAAAAAAAAACTCTCTCTAAAAATTAATTAGTTGACTTAATTAAATAAGAAAATTTCATAGTTGTTTTTCAGGTAAGCAGGTTAATCCAAGCTATGACATGATACTCTTCATCTAGCAGTTCTCCAACAACCAATATTGGGAAAATTCTGGGGGTGCCCCCGACTCGGATTGGAATTGTTCCTTTAGTCAGTGGGATCAAGGGGAAAAAAATATAAGTATAAATACATATAAATTATATATTTATATGTTTTATATACTATAAATATATAAGTTATATATGTATATTATTTTATATAATATATCATTATACCATATAGACATATTATATAGTGTAACATAACATTTATATTATTATATAGTATAAATATGCTATATAAAAACATAATGACATGCAATATATATAATGTATACTATATTGATATACAATACTTTATAATATGTTTATATAGTTATGTAACTACGTATTATAAATATGTTCTATGTACTAACATAATTAGTTATAAGATATGTAATATGTACTCTGGTACTATAGAATAATATGGCACATATCTGTATAAAATGTAGGACACCCAGGGAATCTGGAAGTTTGGAGGGAGATGATGTGTGGGTCTGACATTGAGAAGTACTCCCCGGGTCGTAGCGTCGCCCGCCCTATGGAAAAGTGCCGTACAGGGTAACAGCATGCGAGGTCTCAGCATGGCTGTGCTCTGTGTCAGGAGGCTGTGCCGACCCTGCCGGTGTGAACACGAGAGGCACGGCCTTCCTCGTTAGTGGGCTCAGTGCTGCTCCCTAGGAGTCTGTCTCTCGTCCTCAATGTCGACGCCACTGACCCCTCCCTCCTCTTTGGAACATGTTTCCCTTGACTCTCAGGACAGCAGTGTCTGCCGGATTTTCCTCAGTCTTACCGGAAGCCACTCCTCAGCCGTCCTCACCACGCCATAGCTCCTTCATAGCTCATCATCTCTCAGCAGGAGGGATCCCAGCATGTGACCTCAGGGGCCTCTTCTCTTGTCGTCTACACACTCTCTCGGATAGCGTCCACTGTCCCAGCTTTCACAAGCACCTCTGTGCTGAAGACATCTGAATGGGTGTCTTCAACATAGACCTTGCCCCTGAGCTCAAACTCAACTATCCAGAAATCTAAATATCTTCCAGTCCTCTTCACGGGGTCTCAGAGGCAACTGAAAATTGGGGCCCAGAGCCACAATCTTGATCCCCACCACTGCCACCACAAGCACGCAGACACCAAATACACACACGACCACAGATACCACCAGCTCTGTAACTGGAAGTCCTTCTTTTGGTTCCTCTAGCCCCGATGTTCATGTCATGCTTTTTTTTTTTTTTTTTGAGCGGTTTTTGCTATAGGGCACGTGCGCTCATCAGACAGACAGAGAGAGACAAAGAGACAGAAAGCGAGAAATCACCCCCCAGGGGGGATGGCCATGCCGCAATCCCTTCTCCTCCATTCTCCTCCATTCTCCTCTCGGGATCTTGGGCACGCACGCACACGCGCCCCGCATGAGTTTAAGCCGCCGTGTCCGGGCCTCAAACCGCAGCTGACTACATGGGAGTCTAGCGACATAGCCATTACGCCAACTGCTGATCCCCAAGTCATGCATTTTTTTCCTACTCACATCCTTGAGCAAATCATACTAGCGTTAGCTGCAAAATCTGTTCAGAACTGGATCACTTTAAATAACTCCCAGTGTCTACATCCAAGCCACCACCATCTCTCCCTGACGACAGCAAAGGCCTCCTAAGTCGACTTCCTGTTTCCAGCGATGCCTCCTAACAATAATCTGATGATGCTTTTGTTTTTCCTTTTTAAATTGTCTATCCATTTCTTCCATGAATGAGACACAGAGAAAGAGACAGAGAGGTAGCACCCTCACAAAGTTCCACAACCCACCTATGGCCTCTGCCAGTCCCAGATTACGGGCATACACGTGCATGGTGTTTACAAGAAAACCTCCGGATGTGAATCGGAATCCTCCCATGAGTATCAGCCTCTCAGAGCCTCACATTTAATCACTGTGTCATCGTCTGGACCCCCAAGCAGCCACGGTGATTCTTTAGTTTGTTTTTTTAAATTATTTTTTTAATTTCATTTTCTTTGATACATTCTGTCACGTTATTTAGCTTACAAAGTGAATATTCCAGCATGCATGAGTCCTAAAAGTAGAAACCATGGGGGACCAGTGGTGGCATAGTGGTTTAGCTGCTGGGCTCCCACATGGCCTACCACAGTTCTCCTCCCAGACCTGGCGACTCAAAGCTCATGCCAGGCACGTGTGTGTGCATGCCCAAAATCTCAGGAAGAGAGTGGAGGAGAAGGGACTGTGGTGTGACCATCCCTCCAGGGGTGATTTCTCACTTTCTCTGGCAAGTGTATGCACCCTATAGAAAAAAAATGACCCTCTTAAAAATTATTTATATCTGTATCTATAGATATATCTATAGATATATGTTTATATAAACCATGAGATGTTCCTCTTCTATTCAGAAGTTCCTGGTGGCCTCCATCTTAATTTAAAGTCTAAGAATTCTCCTGAATGTCTGACAGGTCCACTATACATTGACCTCCCCAAGCTCCTTTCCTTCCATCCCCACCTGTTTTCTTTTGTCCCAGGCATTCTGGTTTCTATGCTGTTTCTTAGAAAAAGAAAAACAAAAACCCATGAAGCTACTGAGGCTTTTCCACCTAGACGCTTTCCCCCAAATGAGCCCATGGCTGACCCCTAACTACGTCAGGTCTACCGGATGTCATCCTATTGACAATAGGTACAAGCTCTTTTCTCCTGTCCCTCTTCCGTGATTTTTCCCCTGCTCCACTGACCTCCAAAGCCCTTCCTCTCTGCCGACTTACAGCAAATTCTATATAGTGGCTGTCTGCTGCCACGCATGATCATGAAACTTCCACGAGGGGGGTCATGTTTTGGTTTGCTTCATTTTTGTAAATTCCGGAGTGCAGAAAAGCACCTAGCACAGAGTAGGTGCTCAGTAAACATCTGCTGAGTGAATGAATGAATGACTCCCAAGCTTCTCCTAGACGTTAGCCTCAGTTTGTAAGGTGGTATGTCAGTTTCAGAGCGTAGGGAGAGAAAAGACCCTCCATCGCGGGACCAGTGGTTTCCCAACTCCTCCCTGTGAGTCTCAAGGAAGAGCATGTCCCACTGTCTCGCCTCTTCCCCTTTCATTTGACTCCCCACCTAGAACCTTTTTGTCTTCATAACATGCATTTCTCATGAACTTCCTGAAGACCTCTCATGTTAGCTCCTTGTACTTATCCACAGTCTGCATGATCAGCAGTGCAAAATGGATCGAATACCCAGCACATACGCCC